GAAGCAGGTGATATGTCATTTTTTGATATCAGCTTTCATCAAGCATATTATATGTTAACAAGTTATAACAGTAAAATTATGTGATTTATCCTTTGTTTTTTTTGCTTCTTTGCTGAGCTAGATGACCAAAAGTTGAGGGCACTGCAGCTGAACTCATGGCAATTGTTCAGATTACTTCAAACACAATTGTCCAGTTTGTCTTGTAGAAATTTTCCATGTGATGCCTTCGTTACTAATAGTGGGCCCACAATCAGTGAATGTAAAGGTAGCAAGGAAAAGTTGTTTTGTTGCTTGTATTTAAATGCTGCTACTCTTCATGACGCCTGGAAGGCTAAAGTAATCATCAGGTATGGTGACAATTTTGTTGTGCTTGTGCCAAGATTTTAAAAAATTCCATAGCAAATATTTGTGAACAATTTTACTTGACATTTATTTTTAGGTCTAATAGTACAGAAGGCTATGACAGCGTTGTTGCAGCATATCATGAGTTTCTGAGCTCAGCAAGTGAGTGGCTATCACACAAAGCAACTGATGTATGTGTGATCTTCTGAGTCAAAATTTCTTGACCTTGTATAACCTGGAATATTATTTGAGATCATCAATAGCCAGTATTGAGAGGAATATTGCCATCATGTTAACTGATTTGTGTCTTTAAAGCTTCTCTTAAAATTTCTCTCTTTCTATTTTTTTTCATCACACTTGTGTTTGTGCAGAAACCAATTAATTTACTTGTTTTTGGAGTTGCTGCTTTGATCATATCATGCTTGATACTTTTGGGACTTGTGTTTGTCATCCACAAAGAAGTTCCTGCTTGGGAGATGCAAGACCTTGATACTTATTTAAAGCCATGGAAAATTGATGAGGTGTTCATTTTGTTTGGTGTCCTGATCCTTGTCATCAGTATGGGATCAAGTTCCATGATTGAGGAAGAGCATTATATTTGGCATTTCTTAACATCCACAATTTACTTGTTATTTTTTCGGAAAGCAATACAGACTTTAGACCTTGATAAAGCACGTTATTTACTCAGTTCAATAAAGGAACAAAACAATATATCAGGATGCCAAATAAGTTCATTGATCCTTATTCTTTTTTCTGGAAGGATTTTGAAAGGCTGGCATCAAGGTGGTGTAAATTGGACTAACCTTCCTGACATTTCTAAGTGGCTTGAGCAGGCTGGAAGCCAATATATAAACATGATTCAGATAGCATCATGTGCCATGGTCATCATTTTGGGCATATTTGTATTGTTCGTAATGCAGTCTAAAACAAAAGTTTTAATAGTGATCGGGTTCAGCTTGTTAATGTCTGGTTTGTTGGAATTACAACATTTTATGAAACATCAGTACATGTCTGCCGCATACAATAAGGATTCCATCTTATCAGTACAAATATTCTATGCTGTTCTGGGAATCACTACTATCACTGTTGTATTGGTTTTGCCATGGGTTATGCCTATGCAAACTCCTGAAATATGCTCAAGGTGGAACTTCTATTTGTCTGCTTCTGTTCCTGTTGAAATTCAGAACATGACACCAATTTTGGTATTAAAAGATTCCTTGTACATAGTTGGATGCTTGTACGTAACTTCCTGGTGCCTTCTGCAGTTGTTGCTTCAACAATCCATCAATGCGATGCCTGTGTTTTTGCTCTTTATTCATATCTTGGCCAGCATGATTACTTTTTCTTCAAGTGGGTCACATCATAAGCAGTGGGTTGAGGTTAGTTGCAAGTGCCATTAATAAATGTTGGATTTTATTTTATATTTTGATTGCACATTGGTTTTGGCTCCAAGAGAATTGTGCTAACTCTGAAAGTGTTGCACTGGAATCTATGGGTAATTTAAGTTCATTTTTGGACTTTTTCTATATATAAATTTTTAATTTTAGGGTTTAATAAGCATGTAATGTTACTGTAAAAGTTTTTATATTATCAACCAATCAAAAAGTTTCCTTAGCATAACTTCTAAAGTAGTTATTATAAAAGTCAATAAATTTATCATATGTGACAGTTTTTGACTGGATGATAGTGTAAAAGACCTTTATGCTATCGGTGTATATACTATTTATTCTTAATTTTATTGGTATAGTGTTCATAGTTGGAAATGTGATTTTCAAGCGCTTCTCTCTCATTTTTTTGAGAAGTGATATTATCTTCTTTTTTTTTCTAACAAAATTAAATGGTTGTAAAATTACAAAATTGCTTTAGTTGATACTGAAAAATTGCACTGTGATTATGCCATGTTACTTGTACTTCCTCCTACACATCTTGCCCTTTTAATGCATAATGAGTGTTTAAATGAGTTTAAAATGCTGATCAGATACTGATACTGTGCATTTCTTAGATTACTGCTCTGTACAATCTGGGAATGGCAGGCCATTTTGCTCTTGGGAACAGTAATACGCTAGCTACAATTGATGTGGCTGGAGCTTTTATTGTAATGTCTCCTATTTCTCTTTTGTGATTATTTTAAAAAGAGCATATTAGTTTCTAGTTCTACTCTTCATTTTAAGATTTGAGTTGTTCATAATATCTATTTCATCAGCAAGTTATTACCTTCCATTGGCAGGGAATTTCAAGTCACTCAACCTTCCTTTCTGGTCTTCTAATGTTCATCATTACTTATGCATCCCCAATGTTATTCTTTCTTAGTATGGTGCTGTACATCTCTGTCAAGGCCACAGTCTATCCACTAGTTAGAAATGGAAATTCTGGAGAAATTCTCAAGACCCTTCTTGGATTTCCTTGCCTAGTACCTCTGAGCATAAATTCTGTTCTGTTGACTGCGTACACGATTGTCTTGCTGTTGATGAGGAATCATTTATTTATTTGGAGTGTCTTTTCTCCCAAGTGAGTCATCCTTGAATCTTATGTTTAAAAGTTGATGCATAACACAGAACTATCCCTTGTGGTTTTTTTGAATTTGTTGTTGAAGTTATAGGGATTTTTCCTGATTTTGACATTTATAGATATCATATAAACTTGAAAAATAACCCTATCAATTTGTTCTGTAGGTACCTTTATGTTTGTGCTGCAACTGCATGTGTCTATATCGGGGTCTTCATTGTAGTTGTTACCGTGATTCATACATACATTGTGCTTTTCTGGCTGAGAAAGAGTTTCTCCATGAATAGCAAGGAAAATGGTTCGTTGTCATCCAAGTTAAGAACAAATTAGTATTACATTGATGAAAAGCAATTGTCTCTTAACTGGTTTGGTTATTGAGTAAATATTGCTTTTCTTTTCCTTGAGGGGAGGGGAGGAGGTGGAATATAAAAAAGTTTTTGATTGTATGCTACACCTGCTCCTGCCTCTAATTTATCATTTACTGTAAAATTCTTATTCATGGATGAAGTATTGAAGTAGGATATAACTGATTGGCATATTCTCGCATCTATGCATATCTTCATTACAAAATAAAAATCTGCAGAAGTTCTAGGAGCAAATGCAAATTTTTTTTGATGGGGTATCAGTTTGGAAAAGATTAAAAGAAAACCAGGCTGGTTTGGTTGAGCTAGAATCAAACTGATAGGACTCTTAGAGTGTGTTTGTTTCAAGTTATCTCATCATATTTCCTAGAATATATGGATAGGAAACGTGTTTACTCATGTTACAAGATTAAAAATTGTATACCTGAGCATAGGACGTTTTTAGGAAAAAAAATAGCTTCCATATTTCTATGCTTTTATGCTCAAAGAAGGAGATGGGTAAGTTGATTCCCATGACATGGGAATTAAAATTTGGATTGGTACAGGAAAAGAAGTGGTATCAGCTGCCGCTGAAAGTCTAAATTTAAGATTTGTATGGCCAACTTATTGTTAGCTTAACTTATAAGTAAAGGTTAAACCGAAAACTTGGAAGTAAAAGCACTTGGAAAAAGTAAAAGTAGCTTTTTTATGAAGTTTTTATTTTTATTTTTATTTAAAATAAGTAGTATTCCGAAAAGCTACTGCAAGAAACTTATTCTCAACTTTACGTTTTTTTTTTTCAACTCTGCCTCCCTTCCCTCGCTGCCTGTTGCCCCTTTCGTTCATTGCTGTGTTCTTTTGTTCATCTTCCGCCACAACTTCAACCCCTTTGTTACTAGCGTAGTATCTTGATGCACTCTTGATTTGCTCCACTCGTTAATTTCTAGAAATTTAGCATTCAATTACGAATTGGCTATCTCAGTTCCCAAATAACCATTGAAGCCTTGAAGGGGGGCGATTTCTACTTTGTGTAGTAGCTATTTTTTTTTCCCAATAATTTTTTTCACATTTTCCAAATTGCCTCCCAAAGTTCTCAAATACTTAAAAATTATCTGATACTTTGTTTTATTAATTTAAATTAATATATAAAATAATTTTATGATTATTTATCAATTTGAATTAGTAAAATGAGATATTAAATAATTTTTAAATTTTTTAAAAATAATCTTAGATCAAGTCTGCAAATTTTTTACGATATTAAAATTTATTTTAAAATTTAAAATGATTTTTATTAATCTATAAGAAATATTTAAAGTATTATTTGTAAAATTATAAATACAATAAATGTAATAATTTATTATTTTATAATATACTTTTAAAATAATTAAATGCATATATTATTTCACATTTTAAAATTAATAAATATTTAAATTTAAGATGATTAAAATTCATTTTAAATTTTAAAATAAATTTTGATGCCGTAAAAAAATCTTACTTTTTATAAACATTTTATGTAAAATATATATATATATATATATATAAAAGACTGCATTCAACCTGAATACTTATACTTTTATATTTTTTAAGAAATCAAATAATTAATTATATTATTTCAATATAAAAGTAATTTTATAAACAAATATAATTTTAACATAGGTAAAATTGAAAGTAATCCATGTAAATATATAGGTATCATTCTACTACACAACATAATATATATATATATGGAAATAAAAGCAATGGAAGAAAAAGAAAAAATGGAACAAAATAATTAGTTGAAATTGACGAAAGAACCCTTTGTACTTATCCTTCACCATAACATAACCCATTAACCCATTTCTTCTCACTTCTCCCTCACCCAAATGGATCCCTTCAACGGATCCACCTCCGAACCCGATAACCCTATCGCCACCTGTTCCTCCATGCTCTCCCTCCGCCGCTTCGCCCAGTGCCGTGACTTCGCCCGCCGCCTCCCCCCCTCCGACTCCACCGCCCGAGTCCTCGCAGTCGCTGACGTCCTCTCCGCCGCCGATTTCTACTCCGTCCTCCAGCTCCGCCCCTCCGACGGCGCCAACCGCGACCTCGCGCGCCGCCAGTACGCCACGCTGGCCCTCCTCCTGGACCCGACCAGCCCCGACAAGCTCCCCTTCGCCGACGAAGCCCTCGCACGTGTCCAAGAGGCCTGGCACGTGCTCTCCCACCCCGAACGCCGCGCCCTCCACGACCTGGAGCTCCAACGCGCCACCGCAGCGTTGACGTTCTGGACCGCGTGCCCCTACTGCTGGAACCTCTTCGAGTACGAGAAGAGGTACGAGGGTTGCGCGTTGCTGTGCCAGGCTTGCCAGAAGTCCTTCCAGGGCGAGGCGGTGAAGCCGCCGGTCAAGGTGGGCGACGCGGTGGTCGAGGGGGAGGAGCTCCGCCAGTACTACTCCTGCGAGGCCAGTGTGGCTTTGATGTATTATGAGGTTAAGACGGAGGAGAATAATCATAACAACGTGTTCGCTAAACAAAATGCCCAATACGTGTACATTTCTGATGACGATGAAGGGTTAGGGTTTGTGAGAAACGTAGGGTTGCGAGGTAGTGAGAAGCGGCGAATGAGGGTAAAGACTGTGGCGAATAAAGCCCTAGGGAGCAGAACTAGGAGGACTCTTGATAGTGACTCGGATTTGGATTTGGATTTGGATGATGGTGAATTGGAGTTCACGGAAGGAGATGATGATGTCTTTGTTGGTGTTCTCTTTGACAAGTGATGCAAATTGCAATGCAAAAGGTGATCATGATCGCACTGCTTTCTTTGCTAATTCTAGTAGCATCATGTAGGTTGGTAGTGACGATTAGTGAGTACTGAGTATTGAGTAGTGTTTTTGGATAGTGTTTTGCACAGATTATTTGGGGGAGTGGAGAACAATTGAAAACAGGAAATTAGAGTATAGTTGTTGATTTGGGGTTTTGTCATTTTGGAAAAGAGGCATTGCCTTGTTCATATTTTACCATTTTTGTAATGCCACTTCTAATGACACCTTCCGAGTTTTAAAGAAAATAGTCGATTTCCGTTATCTGAATGAGGTTTTTTTTTTTTTACTATTTGTTAGTTTAGTTTTGTGGAAGCCAAGACTGCTACTTGAGTTTCCTTTTATCTGTGTTGGTTGTTAATGAGATCTCTTATCAATTCGGCTCAGCTTCTCAAAGAGTATGCTCTCTTGTTTATCCCCCTTGGTCTTGCTAAATTGTTACACCGATGGTTACTAGGGTCTAGGGATCACCAGGGCATGTAAGTGAACAATTTCAGCATGTTGGACTCACCTAAGAAATGAAGTGACTGAAATGTTTCAAGCCAAAGCTTATATTGGTTTGGTTTAGCTCAATGGAGAAGTATTTGCTTTGGTTTTCATTAGAAAATCTCTTATCAAGACATTGCACGAAAGACAGCAAAAATACAGGGATTTTTTTTAGCATCTTTTATGAAAAATTCTTTTGCACAACATTTGGTTTCAATCGTTCATTCTTTTCAGTCACCCTTGTGCCTTTTAAAACTCATTGCAAATTCACCTCTGCATGTTGTTTTCTCTGATTAGTATTTATGGCACGCTATTGCTTTTTCCAACATTTGCTATTACTGCATATGGAAGAATCAAGTAATTGAGATTCCTGTTGAATCTCTGCTGTCTCTACTGAAAGTGCCTGCTCTTAAATCTGTCTATTTTTATTACACGATTTCTTTTAAGTTAAAGGAGCCGTCTGTGGAACCTAGTCCAAATTGATTAAATAGCTTGTCATTTGGCCTGGCCTTATTCCAATAGAGATTAGTGTTTGATCTCTGCCAAAAGCTGTTGGATGATCTAACAGCAAAAACAACCAAGTCATGGGCCATAGCATAATTGAAAAAAAAAATAAAAAAAGAATGTTAATTTTCTTCATATAATAAGTGAATCTTATTTACTTGTTTAACCTCTTGCTTTGGTACATGAGTAGCATTTGACTAGGGTAGGGGTATGCTGTTGGGGGACCCAGCCTTCAGGCCTTCACAACAACCAGATGAAGTAGAATGGATATAAAGGCTGTTTAGGCAACTCTTTAGTCAACTCTAGAGTAATTTTAGTTATTAATTTATATTGTAATGTGTGTTTTAGGAAATGTGTTAGACTTGCTTTTAATAATTTTTTTTGCTTGAGCTCGAGTAGGACACCCCTCACGTCTTAAGGATTAAATTAAGACCTTGCATACTAAGAAAAATATTAAGTGTATGTTTGATCCAAGTTTTCAACGTGATAAATTACGTTAAAATAGAAGTTATAAGTTATAACTTTTACGTTTTAAACATAATTTTTCTCTAAATCACGTCCAAAAAGACGTGTAACTAAATATGCACTAAAACTTGTACATTTCAAATTAGACTTGTAAATGTTTTACATTATTTCAAATTAGACTTGTAAATGTTTTACATTATTAGTAACTGTGCCCTTATTGGACATGACCAACCGACTATGTGCGCCCTTTAGATTTATAGCCGATCTTAGTCATATGTTAATAATTACACCTTTCAAAAATTATTTAATTTAGTTAAGACCATTAAGTTTATTAATAATTTAAACTATTTTTTAAAATTATCTTTAACATCTTTTAAACTAAAATTTTCTCTTTTTGTTTAATTATTTTTTATCTAATTAATTAATATTTGAAAAATAGAAATATTTGTGTGTTCATTTATCTTCATGAAGAAAATTTTTCTATCAAATTAATTTTAAGAATTTATTATCTTTTATTTAAAAAATTGTTAATTAAATAAAAGTATTTTAATAAAAATATAATTAATACAATCGATAATCAGAAGAAAGTCATATATATATATATATATAAGTAAAAAGAGTCTTTCGGTAGTATTTTATAACTATCAATTTTGACCTTTTGTTTATGGTTAGATGGTTAATATTAAAACAAAATTTAACATATTTTCTTCAGTGAATTGTGTTTTATATTTCATTTTATTATAATAAATAAGTCTTGTTAAAGGATAAATTTTCTTTTTTACTCTTGGCTCAATCTTTATTCTACCTTCTATTGCTTTAACATGAATAGTAAGAGTTGAGAAAATTGGGATTAACAATTTACATAAAACGCACACCTATCCCACCGAAACCGTGTAGGTCGATGAGGTGGCCGTGTTATAGTAGAATTGGCAAGCATGTGTATTTAAGAGTTCTATATTTAGAAAAAATAAAATTATACTTTTGATTGATTTATTTATTTTTAAGATTAATTTAATTTTATTATCTTTAAATGACTTAATTTTGTTTTTTATTTTTTTAAAAATGTTTAATATCATAATTTTATTTGAATTGACGTTATTAATAAAATTGGATGAAACAACAATACTAAACATTAATATTAAAAATTAGAAGATTAAATTAAATCATTTAAAAGTATTGAAATCAAATTAAATATTCAAAAAATAATTATATTGAAAAAGAAATTTATGTAACATTTTTTTCTAGGTGAATTTGATTTTTTTTATCTATTTAATATTTTTTATGACTTAAATATATTTTTAATTTCTCAAATTTAAAATTATAATTGAAATAATTATGTAACATCAACTAGATTTAATGTGATATTTTCACTAACAGAGATATTTGTAAATAGATTTTATGGGATCGTATTTGATAAATTTCCTAACAAAATTTAAGCATAAATAAATTTTTTTATAAAAATTATAGGGACTAAAAACAAATTTATTAAGTTTTTCTTATTGTATAACTCCTTCATTTTTGTAATTATTTTTTTAATTGTAAGCACTCAATTTATTGTTATTCATAATCTTGCTAAGATAAGGAAAAGAAAATTTAAATTTATCTAGAAAAAAAATGTTAGATAAATTTTTATTCAGTTTCATTTCATTATTTTAAAATGTTTAATTTAATTTCATTATTTTTAAAGCATTCAATTTGATCCTTTAATTAAAAAAACGTTCAATATTATTATTTTATCTAATTTCATTAATGCAATTAGTTTCAATTTGGACAAAAAGAGTAATAATAAATATTTTTTTCAAATTAAAAAAACTAAAATGGACATTTTTAAAATAGTGAGATTAAATTGAATCCTAAAAATAAATAAAGAAACTAAAAATATTTTTAAAGTGAATTACACATCGTGACCATGTCACAGTAAAATTGGTCCACTCCCTCTAGTTCTTCTAATTTTTTACGCATAAAAAAATATTTAATTTAGATATTAGTTGGATTGAGTCACTTCATGTTGATTTTTACTTACAAACATTATTATCATTTTTATACATTTTTTCATTTTATCCTCTATTTAATATATTATTGGTAGAGTTATTGTATAAATAAGTGGACAAAAGGTTCAAAGAAAAAATGAAAATAAAAATAATTATTAAAAGAGATATTTCTTTTATTAATAATTATAAATTTGAACTAAATTATCGTAATTTATTAATTTACAAATGTTTACAATATTTTTAACCACTTCATTCTATACAGCCCTTTCTTTAATAATGTTCATTTCCCATGCAAATTTTACTCAAAATAGCATTAATGTCTCACTTAAACTTTTTGGATTCATGCTTAAACTAATGTTAATTATCAACTACGCAAAGGTATAAATAGAAAAAGTTACATAAAGATAATGCTACTAACACATTATTTAAAATACTCTTTTGAAAACAATCTTTTTAATTAGTTAAAATTTATTATAAAATATAAAAGTTAACAAGTATAATATTTACTTAATGATTCTCTTTTAATTTTGTAATTTTGAATAAATTCTAACCCATAAAAAATTAGTATATTAAGTGTGGTGTGTTGTTAGGACTTCAACCCAAGCGTGGCATTGATTCAATAGAAGAATTGGTAGTTTTGTGAATATAGGAAAATTTTCATTCAATTGAATCCTTCCACCTGAGAGAGAGGTGGAGGTGCTCGCTGAAGGAAGGAATAGCAATAAAGAATTTGTTGAAAGAGAGGTCCTTGTAAATTCTAATTGCACAAAACTTGGGTGCACTGTCGTTGCTTTTTAATTAAAATTAAAGATTAATTTTAGTAATATGTATTTATATTTAATGTATTAGCTTATTAAATTTATATTAAATATAAATATATATTATTAAAATAAAACTTTAATTTTAATAAAACAACACCATTCACGAATATGAGCAAATACGGTACTTCACTAAAGTTTTCTCCTTCCGCACGACTGTTCCAATTCTTCAATCCTTACATTGAAATACCAACTTAAAGCAATTCAGGAATTCGTTCTTTAATCGTGCAATGAGAAGAGGAATTGGGTTTTTCTACAAGGCAATGTGTAATTTTTATTTTTATTTTTTATCGTGCTGCATGCATAAGAAGTTAATATTGTTCGACTCAATTAAACACATAAAAAAAATTACAGACTAAATTAAACTTTTTAATAATAAAAGAGTTAAATTGTTTAAAGTTAAAATCAATAAAATGAGATGTCAATAAAAAAATTTAGCCTTCTTTTTGATTGAGAAATTTAGAGTCAATAGATTATCTCTTAATTTAACAACTAAGATTAGGTGTAAGTTTAATTGCCCTTTGTTCAAATGAATTTGCCACTAAAATAAAATAATCTTTAAATATAATTATTTCAACTCAACAATAAATAAATAAATACTTTCTTATTTTATTTCATATTTTAGAAGAGTTAAATTTGATTCAAAGAAGTTCATGTACTACAGATTTCAACAAACAAGTCAACAATCTTATGTGGATTTTTCTCTAGATCATATTTTCTCGAATTTTTTATTTATAAAAATAGAGTAATTTAATTTTAAAATCACTGAATATGATGTACCCTTTTTAAAAAAAAAAAAAAACTATTTCAGACGAGTTGCACTTCTTGTAGCGAAAGAAATTTCTAATGATTTTTCATTCCCAGAAAATGTTGTGGCAAATATTAACCACGAGAAAGAAGAAAAAGAATGCAAATCGTGCACCTTACACCATGTGGATGTGGGTATAGGAACACTTACACTATTATATAGAAGTGTTTATGACCTACTCGTTTCACTAACCTATCCCGATTAAAAAGACTTTTGATGTGTTTGAGTTTAACAAAGTGAATCCAATATGTTATATATTTAATAATTTTTAAAAATAATTATGTATTAATAATATAACGTGTTATTTAAATAGTTCATTTTATAATACGCCGTTACATAACTAATGGACCACTCATCCTAACCATTGATTTAAGTTAAATCTTCACAGTTAATTTATTATTTTTTAAGAATCATTTTACTAATATTTCAAGATTCTGAAACTAAAAGAGAACACAATAAAAATCGCAAAAGTAGAAAAGAAAGAAAAATAAAGAAACACAATAGAGAAGACTTGTTGACCCAACATTTTTCTCTCTCATTTTTTTTTTCACGCCTTCCTTGTCTTCACTCTTTAGTATCCAACTAGTGTTTAACGTTAAACCAACCAATAACTGAATCCCCTTGGTAGTAGCTACATGCATGCAGGAATCATTGTCAAGTTGAACAATGGAGTATTCAACATCCACGTGGTAAAATGCTGCAAATAAAATATGCACCATCATAAGGTTTCACTGTTCTAAAACAACGTAGTTAAAAACTAAAAATAAATCTTAATCCCTGAATTAATACCCTACAATATATACCAAGTTAATACCCCCAAAATGAAAACTTATTATAATAATCGCAAGCATAACCAGGTTTATATGTGGGACCACTGCCACAACCGGGCCTAATGGGCCCATCGTGCTCTATAACCAAGTGAGAAACAAAAAATTCAGTTAAGTGGTAAAAAAACATTTTACTCAGAAAGATATCGTGTGGGAGCAAATCAAGGATTTTATAGTAAGGATCTTAAAATTAAATTTTAGAGCATTCCTCTTTTAAATGCTGATAATGTTGTGATTATCTTCTGATGGGTCATTATTGGAAGGAATTTTTTTCTTAATCTTATTAAATTGAAAAAATATGTTTTGGACTTGCAATTACACCTTTCATTTATATTTCATTAAAGAAGATCTGTTCCTTACTTATAAAGAAAGTTGTGACCAACGGCAAACATATAGCAATCTTCCTTGTTCCGAGTTAGTTGCATTTTACTTACCTCTTTTAGCATACAATCTTCCATAGGAGGCAAATCAGTTGAATACCATGGTTTTTCTTCGACAGGTAATAAGGTTATCACAAGTTCAACTGTTTATAGTTCAATTAAAATGTGTTTTCTTGTGTTTTACTAAAATCTTTCCATTTAGGGCGTGCAACATGTTCGGAATTACTATAACTCAGAAGCTCAAATGATAAGAGGTAGCTTTCCTCATCCATTCATCTCTAGGACATACAAAACCAGTTTCTTGAAGCCAAGATCAAAGGCAGAGATCAAATTATTGGCTGCTAAGAAACATAGTGAAGCAGAAAAGAGACGGAGAACGAGAATCAATGGTCAATATGAAACCCTTCGAAATATCCTCCCCAACTTGATCAAAGTAAGTTTTAGACACAAGTATCAAACGGTTTATTATGCCTTGGATTTTTGTGAGGATTCCTTAAAATCAATAAAATCGTGTAAAAGTGAATGATTACAATCTTGTCCCCATTTTTTCTTGTCAAAATTGCTGAATTTATATTTTGTTACCATAACAGAGGGACAAGGCATCAGTATTGGCAGAGACTATCAAGCAAGTGAAGGAGCTGAAGAAGAAGGTAACAAAACTGGAAGAAGATAACTCTGCTAACCCATCAAAGGATGTAAAGTTTCCTAGTGGGGCAGACAAGTTGAATTTGGGAAAATGTAATAATGAAGGCCTAGTGAAGGCTACATTGAGTTGTGAGGATAGTCCAAGATTGATGTCATCAATATCAAGGGCACTAGGGTCAGTGAAAACCAGAGTGGTAAAGGCTGAGATAGTGAGTGTGGGTGGTAGGACAAGAAGTGTGTTGTGGGTGCAAGGTATTGGAAATGATGGTTTAGGGATGCTGAAGAGCACTTTGAAGGTTGCCATGCACAAGCCAGCCTTTAAGATGAGGCGTTTTACTCAGTAACTCTGTCCTTGATTCTGACTCAGTTAGGAGCTATAACGAGTAGGGACTGATAACAATATTTTCTAGTTTTGAAGACTATAGAATAATGATGACTCTAGCCTCTAGGAGCTGTCTAGAACCCCTGGCTTTCTCACATTTTAGGGTTACCGTGTCTCATTATGCAAGTGAAGTTTAATTTTTACTTTATAGTTTGTATCAGGATACCATGTTTGAGTCTTCATATAAAAGTATATAATAACATGAGGGTTTAACATGTAGTGCGTGTTTAGTTACGGATATGGAAGCTACCTGTTGTAACTTTTACGGCACTCAATATACAGGATTTATTGAATGCAGAAAGTGTTTCCAACCACACTGATAATCACTTTTGTAATCACTATCTGCCGTAAACAGCCTCATGTTAATAATCACTACCTGCCATAACCCGAGTTGAACTGTTGA